GCTGAAGGAGGAGGATCTGTGGGGCTGGGGCTCCCTCGGGGCGCGGTAAGCCTGAGATTTCCGAGGTGTCCCGGTGGAATTAGTCCTGTGTCCTTACAGCGTGTTGTCGTATCGGGTTTAGAGCCGGGAGGGGGAGGGCACGGGACTGGTGTTTGGTACTTTACTCTCTTGCAAATACCCAGAAAGTGTCTCGCTTACTCTCTCTGCAGAAGTCGTGCATGCCTTGGTGTAAAACCTTACTTATAAAGCCTCGCGTTACCCTTATGGACATATTTTCTGAATGTCACAGTGGGGACAGTGTAATACCTGGATTTTGGTTTTTATGTTTTCTTTTTCTTTCTTTCTTTTCTTTTTTTTTTTTAATTGAAGAATTTTTTACTGTTTTGCAATGTGTGAAATAAAAGGAAATCATATGTGCCTTTTTCAGTTCTAAAAGTAGAGTCAGGAAACCTTAACTTACAGTGTTGCATACTTAAGATTGGGTGTTACATGTTATAGAAACTCAACCCATTGCTTTGCCATAGTGCCACCTGGTCTGCCAAGACCAACAGACTGCAGGATCCAGGTTTCTCTTGCACACCCACGGGAGTTCAGTGAGCAGGCTGTTAGACACAGGGTTGTAGGTTTCATTTTCTTCGGATCTGCTGTTGGACTTTCTGATGTTAAAGGTAGAATTATAGTTTGCTTTGGTCTTGATTTCCTCCTTTTTAAAATGAAAACAGTTAAATTTGCCTGCCTTTGCACATTTCTGTTGTGAATTAATGGTGTTATGAGAAGATTAAAGGTGCAAAACAGTTAGGATACCTTATGTTCTCTGAATTCTAGACATTGGGTTTAAGTATGAGAATTAGTACCCTTCTGGCCCAAATCTCCTACAAGATAAGCTAAATGTTGCAATGGGCCACTCGATTGTTGAATTATTGCGGAAGATTAACCCTGGGGCCCTGTGGAACAGGTCACAGACCTGGGGGTTTTGGTTTGGTGATGTGGTTTTTTTATTCCTCCTTTTTTTTTTTTTTTCTTTTCTTTCCCTTCTGATGGTGCTGACAGTTGTCACCCAGTGATGATGCTGGAACTCCCACCTTTGGCTTCTCCCCTGTCTGCCTGTCACCGCCACACCATTTCCATGCTACCTCAAATTGGTGGCATTCTCCAGAATGTGCAAGAAATAATTACTTAGTAATTTCAATTGGGCCCTGAGTTTTGGTCACCTCATTAGGAGATTTGCTAAAGAAATTGCAGTGTAGCTGGATACACTCACAGACTGTTTCATTTCTTATGAATGCTGGGCATTTAATTAAAGTAGTTATTTGTGGAGTTCAGGGATTGTATGTGTTCGAGGAAGAAACATAAAACACCCTTTGCTTCCCTCATATGTCTTTGCCCAGGATCTCTTAACTTTATGTAAGATAAAACTGGAAAAATCAAGTTCAGCCCCTAGGGTTTGTCTGCCTTCAGAAATCTGGGGATAGCATAGAAAGTGTTAAAGGAAGCAGAAATGGTTGGTTGGTTGGTTGTTTTGGGAAAACTGCTTTTGTATTGTGTTTCTTTTCCCTGTCTGCAGGCAGGAGTCAGCTGCAAATGGAAAGTTGAGGGGCACTGAGGTATCAGTGTTCCCCTGTACAATGATGATATTTATGTGGGATTCTGTCTCAGTATACATAATATTTGGAAGCTGTTGATGACATTGTGTACCTGCGGGCACTGTCCCTTCTTAGAGTGGTGCCTTACTTCTTTAAGGAAGCCTTTAATTTTTGTATTTCAAATCTCCAAAACTTACTGGAAAGATGTTTGCATCATTTCTTGTGCTGTTTAAAGTTATACCTCGGAGAGTTTTACTCCATGTAGTGTCACTTTGTTTCTTTCTAATTAAAAGGTTTGTCTTTTCAAAGGGATCTGTCCTTTGGCGCTGCCCAATCAGTGAATCCTTTAAACACGCTCCAACAGTTGTCACACAGAACTTACAAACTCAAACTGGAGGAGGGAAGATGATGGCCTTGAATGGACAGAAGACAATCAGTAACCCGGTAACTCCCCTGTCGTGTCAACAGCTTTTCCCTTGGGAAATGGGACTGGTTTATGTCAAAAGTTATTACTTACACTGTTTTGCACAGTGAGGGGTGTTAGCAAGAACTACTTGCGTTGCTTGCTGTTTGAGGGAGAATGTCACAGGTGACACTAGGAGCTGAGATTTAGAAGTTGTGCTGTAAGTAAATGGACACTAAATGCACAGGACTTCTAAAACAGCGAGGAAGCGCTGTCGGCCTTGGAGGGAAATCCTTTTTCATACACAGTTTATGTGGATGTCTGACACGTTTGCAGGACATGCTGGATCGAAAGTGAAAGTATGCTAAGCAGTGCTTTCAGTAATGCTCTGTAAACACGGGTGTTGCCTTGCAGCCCTTATGAAATATTTGGGTTTGTTGTGCCTGTAACTTGAGTCTGAACAGTTAAACTTGGAATCATTTTTGATAGTTGATACCTTACCTTAGAATAAATCCTGGTTTTTTAGGGAAGACTCGAGCTAACACAATTCAACAATTGCAGAGAGCACATTGGACAGAATGTTGTTTGCCCATCTTAGAAAGTCTGGAGACTTTCTCTGAAAAGCGCTGGAACAGTGGCCTGGCACTGGCATGTGGCTAAAAGGGTGGGCTGGAGCTGTGGTTTTTGTTGTATCTTTAAAAAGGTCGTTCCTTTGAGCCTGCAGGAAATAGTATTTTTAGCATTCTGTGTTAGAACACTGTAGGGTATCTATGCAGAGTATAGAGTAGTGCAGATCAGCACAGGACTTTCTTACCTATTACAGCTTTGTGCTGACCCACACCTGTGCCCTCAGTGAATCTGACTGTTCCCACTATATATTCATTGCTTGCTAGGGGTGATGAGGGAATAACTTCAGCCTTCTTCGTAAGAACCCAGCTGGCAGAGGAATGAAAGCTGTGTGGAGATTAACTAGAAGGTAGGAGGAGTGAATTGCAAAAGGAAGTTGGTAGATGGAGATTTTGGTGGGAAGGAAGTGTGAAGAGGAGGATTAGGAGTTTATGACAAATAATCTGTGTAAGGGAGAGAGTAAGAGTTCAGCAAAATTGGGTGGCTGCAAGGGGACTGATGAATATGATGGGTAACAAGACCAGGCTGCAAAAAAAAAGGGGGTAAATCTGGGCTTAGGGATCAAGAGCCTAAGGTGGCAATAAGTGTGAGTATTTGGGATTTGAATATGGAGGCAGAGTTGGGAAAGATTTTGCTGATGACCTCAGGACAGCTGCCAGGCAAGGCCAGGAGCAGCCTGTTCTATCTGACCTTGCTTTGATCAAGGCATTGGGCTAGAGACATCAGAGGTGTCTTCCAGCCTCAGCCTTTCTGTGATTGTGTCCCCTGTGTGATACCACAAGATGAATTTAGAAGGGATGGAGGAGGGCAGGGTGCAAAGATTTCACTGTTTCAGTGATTGTTCCATGAAGAGCGAAACTTAAGAGCTTTAGTACAGGTTTGAGTCTGAAATGTATTTCTTTGCAACTGTACTTTTCTGAATCACTCAGAAAATCCTGCTTTCCTCTTCATGCCCTTTATTCCTGTTGTACATGATGGTACATATATTTAAAAAATAAAAATCTCAGGTTGTGCTTTTATGGTCCAATATTCTGTTCAACAGTCATATTTCCAGTCTGTTGACAATTGATATTTCAAAGATGTCCTAAAATCTTATACACTGTTCCATAGATATGGGATTTTGAGGAGAGAAAAGCAAAACAAAAAACTCAAACCCCAAGCCAGCCTTGGCAGAAATTTTTGTCTGTTAAGCAGAGCAAATGCAGCATTTGCTACCATTTACTTCCTCCTTCAATCTGAAGTCAAGTGATGACATGCATACTTACAGCTTTACTTTCAGATCAGTTACTTGTGAACTTCCACAGTTTTCTGTAAAGTTGCTCCCCTTCTCTCCCTGAAATGCTAGATGCACCAGCTGATGATGGTCAGGGTAGGGGCTTCTGTCAGCATGTCTGAGCCTTTGCCAGAGCTGCACTGGGTGTTCAGTGCTTTTGTTTTAACTGACACATCCCCTTACATGGCTTAACAACTCCGACTGTGTTGCCATTTCAGTTTAGCATAACGTGTGTGTGTTACCTTCTCCAGCTATTGATATGGAGTTAAAAATGGGATGGCTTTGAAGCAGACTGCATACTGTAGATACCACAAAGATTGAGACCCCTGAATGGGAGTAATTCAGTGTGCCTTGCGATTTTTAGCTCATTAGGATGAGGTATTTTGTTGTATTTGTCGTGTAGTTTTTATTAAGAAGACTCTCTGTGACATAGTGTCTTTTCACATCACTGTTTTCCAAAATGGAACAAGAACAAGCAAAAAGGCAGCTGCTGCAGCCTGGGGTCATAAGGGTTGTGGAAGATGCTTCTTTCTACCAGCAAAGGGCTGATAATAGACAGCCCTTGGCAATGACCTGTTTTAAAGTGAATCCTTTTTATACTCTATTAATGAGGCAATAAAATATTACCACTCTTCATTTGAGAGCTAGCAATGGGGGCTGGAAATGTTAGTTTTAATTTTATCTGAGAAGCTGGGTTTACATAGGTGAAAATCTGGGTTTTTCCATCCTGTTGTGGTGGGTATTTAGTGCTTTTCTACTGTTTATTTTAAATAAAATGCTAGTTGTGTTTCTTTTAATGTGCTAGAGCACCACATAACTAAGTATTATATTATTATTTTTAAAACTATTGTGTTTTCTTTTGCTTCCATTACAAAATGTTATTTTTTAACCCCCTTCTTCTAGATCATTCCATATGTTGGGACAATATTTGGTGGCCTTGCTCCTGGACAGCTGATTAAGATCCATGGGACTGTTCCTGATGATGCAGACAGGTAGTGGCTACTGTACCACTTTTTGCTGTGTCACCATCTGAACAGGAATGTAATGGATACAATGTTTCCAGGGGTCCTACTTATTATGGCACAAAAAGGATTGATCTAAATACTTGTGATAGCATCAGAATGAATACAGGTTTAAGTGGTTAATTAATGGATGAACTGATTTTTTGCTTTCTGTTGATTCTTTTTGATTTTTGCTTTGCCTGCTTTGGCAGATTTTCTCCCTGTCATACGTCTCCCTGTCTAATGGGGTTCTGAGACTAATAAAATTGATAATCGAATGTGTTTCATGAAGGAATTAACTTAAAGTGGGATAAGTAGGTATGAACTGTTGTCTCTAAAGCAGAGTTGTCTGGTGTGCAAAAGCCGATCAGTTGAGGTATTTGCCTTTATTGCAGTTCTGCACAGGGGAGGGTGGCGGGCAGCTAACACAGCTGGCATATTTTCTAGGGAACAGGTAAAAACCTTTTATACAAAATGCTAACAAGGGACAAACCATATCAACATAAGTGACTGGTTACCTGTGCTTTACATAGTGAAATCTCAATCACACATCTCTTGATTTTTACCCAGCTCATTATAACAAGGTGGTCCTATATTTACATATAAAATCTCCTATTAGAGGTGTGTCTTGTAGTATTATAATTACCTAAGGTAACCAGAGGTTATATCTTTATCCTATCAGCTACCACTAAGTTCTTGCCTGGCCTTATATCCTGTTATGGTTCTCATTTGAACAAGAGTTGGCCATAAAATAGGTATTCACAGCATTCCATTCTGAGGATCTATCCGCTCTTGTGGTCCCGTTATCATGGTCTTGAGACAGGTTGTTTATTTTGTACACTTTTAACTCCTTTTGACAACAAACTAGTGTATGTGCCCAGTATGGGCGTTCTGTTCCCTGACTTTGCCCAAGGTTCATTTGGTTATTCTACTGAAGATAGTGAGAGAGAAGGTGGTGAACACAGTAAGCGAGGAGCTTACGTGATATGAATGATGACCATTGCATAAATACTGAAATACTTTAATTCATTGCAAAAAATCGTGGGAGAACTTTTCACAAATGTGTAGAGGTTGGACAAACATGTTGTTTTTTTCCTTATCCAACAACACTCATTGTGTCTGCCTGTTTTTGAGGCTCCACAGTAAAAAACAAGTGTGTCAAACTTTTAGGTGATTTCTTGACGGACTGAGCTAAATATGGTTTGTCTTATTTTCATGGTTAGGTTCCAGGTGGATTTACAGTGTGGCAGCAGCATAACGCCTCGAGCTGATGTGGCGTTTCATTTCAACCCCCGCTTCAAAAGGTCTGGCTGCATTGTTTGCAACACACTGGAAAGGGAAAGATGGGGCTGGGAGGAGATCACTTATGAGATGCCCTTTCAGAAAGGGAAATCATTTGAGATTGTCATCATGATTTTAAAGAATAAATTCCAGGTGAGTCTGGGTTGATTATCACTAGACAGTTGTTCAAGCCAGTAAAAAAGAGTTATTTTGTATAATTACAATAAATAGTAGGAAGCCTTGGTTTCTCTGTTACCTAGGTATAGTCTAACTATGGAAAAGTTTGTAGGTTTTTCTTTAAAGAGCTGCTAAGTAGATCAGAGCTTTGATTTGTATTGCTTCCCTCTAAGTTGGATGAGCAGCCAGTTAAATTCCTGCCATGGCTAATGGCTACTCCTCCCTTCCCTTATGTGCTGACCTTAGAATGAACATTTTTTGTGACCAGTATAGGACAGTCCTCTTGGAGTGAATATGTGAGGTGTATTTGTCATGCTGTGTTAGACTGCAGTAGTAGATTCTGTTACATTGCTAATACCACATTGATAAATGATCAGGTGATAGAAACAAAAGGTGTGAAATGCAAATTTTAGTGTAGGCAAATAAGCCTCTCAGTGATGGAAAGAGAGACTGAATCATAGATGAGCTGAACTTATCTGCTCTGAAATTTCTAGGACGCTCCCTGCTACTGTATGAAACCGGTGTAAAACAGATACGTGTGTATAATCTGATATATGGCTGGTGTAATGTATGTGTAATATAATTTTCCTATTTTGTTTCCTGTCTCTCTAGGTGACTGTAAACAAGAAGCACTTGCTACTCTATAACCACAGAATTAGCCTTGAAAGAATTGATACTCTTGGAATATATGGCAAAGTGCAGATCAAAAGTATAGATTTTGTTCCTGATGTAAGTTATATTGAAAGCTGACTTGTTCAGTTCCTTTTCTCTGTCTTGCTAAACTACGGAGTAGGATTTTATGGTGAAAAGGAAGTAAAGAAAAGCAGCTATGCAGTCTAATGCCAGTAACTTTCTTTCCCCTTCCCCCTACATTTCAACAAGTGAGTCTCACGTGAGGATCTCTGTGCCTCCGTTTTAGCCTTGAAGCCAAGGGCAAAAGAGTGACAAAGTTCACAGTTTCAAAGTTAATATGACAGATGGTGTAAGAATTGATTGAATACTGGATCGAGGAATGCATTAGAGTTTTCAAATATTGCAGGAGCTCCAGAATGAATTATCACTATTCAGTGCTTCTAAGTGACAAGTTTGGCCATGGCTGTAACTTGTTGCTTGGCTTACAAATGTCAAATTCAGCCACAGCTGGCACTGCTTTTGCATATAACCCTGTTTTTCCTGCTAAAATGACCAAGCTGTTGAACAAAGTGGTAAGTGGGAGTGTATGTTTATTTCTGGGAGGTGAGAAGAGGGGTACTTTTTCAAAGACTTTGTGGCTTGATTTGCACTTGAACCAAACTGCAGTACAGCTTGAACCAAATGTCCTCAGCTGCCAGGTCTGCTAGAGAAAATTAACCAACAAGGAGGAGTTGATCAGTATTTTCAGAAGAAGACATCCTTCTGCTCTGGAACGGTGAGACTTCTAGAGCAGAAAAGGAAGATGATAAATTGCAGGGAGATACAGAAGGTGAATGCCTTTTCCCTTTCTTCCTCCCACTCACTAAGGCAGCCCACCTACTCCTGTGTAATATTCTGGATCTGTTCTGCTGCATCTTCACTACCCTGTGGTCAAAGCTTGAGCCTCTCACTGCCAAATGTCAGGTCTAACTCAGGTCAGCAGACTAATAACTGGGTTGATAGACAGTGGAGGTTTGGGCCTGAACGAAATGTGGTCTAAGCTTTAAAAATACGTCTACTCACTGATCATTTGGAAAGCCTGTGTACAGACTTCAGTGGGGCCCATCACTTGGCCTTGAGCACATTGCCAGAATAATGTTACTCCAAAGCTGTCTGAGTCCTGGTCTTAAGGGACTTAACTTCCAGAAGACCGCTGGGGGCAAGCAGGTCCTGCAGGTTGATTTCTGTCCCAAACACAAAACAAAACAGAGTTGCTTTACTCCGTGGTTGCCGATGCTGTATCCTTTGGGGAAGAAAGGCAAATGGAGAAGGGTGATTGTTTCCTTTTTGTCTTTGCTTTTAATATACTCTTCTGAGGAGGAAGATGGAGGCTTGTATAAACAAGCTGAAGACATAATTTGGCTACAGCAATTGATCGTCAGGACTTTTCGTTGGTTTGTAGGGCTTTGGTTAACTTTATAATAGCCTTAGTTTTCCGTGTTAACATTTCACCCTTTGAAGCAGCATGGGTCCTTATATGGTTCTAAACTAACTTCATGTTAAAGAAGTTCTATGTTGTTAGCAGTGACATCTAAATATCTCTCTTTCTGCAGTCTTTACAAAGCTCTCAGCCATCAGGTCTAGGAGTAACAAAGATAAACACAGAAACTGCATGTATGTTTGTAAAAGGTTGAATGAATCTCCCTATTATGTGATAAGCTAGTTAATGTTGTTTGTTTTCTCATGCAGGGGGAAATGCCAGATGGTTCACAATTTGTAAGTAGACAATTCTCATGTAGACTTGTGGCAAATGTGAAGTAAAAAAATTTGAAATAAAACCATCTTAGTTATTCATGAAAAAAGAATGCACAAAACAAGGGAATCAATCTTGTGGGAGATGATAATCAGTGAGGTTTTGTAGAGAGTAATCCTCTTTGCTGCTGCTAGTAAAAGTGAGGCTATTTGTTAAATCATTTAGAAAACCCAAAAGATAAACACAGCATCCGCAGCCATAAACAGAAAAATACAAAGAGGTGCCTGAAGTTTTAAACAACCAAATCACATTAAAGACTTTTTTCAAATAAGCATACTTAGCTTTCTCCTTGGGGAACACCTGCAAAACGAAAAGTATTCTGCAGTCATCTTGCACCAGACGGCCTTATGGGAACATGTGTGTCTTGGAACCTGTCTGGCTGCATCTTCCTCTTGCTGACAGATCCATGCTTACCCTGTATACACTTCAGGTGGCTGGATGCCAGCATTGCATCTTAGGATTGGAATTCACACCCATATAACAGGGAGCATAGAAGGAGTGAGGGCTCATCTTTTTGGAAAAAGCTGTAGAGGTGGATGGTATCCAGGCTGGAGTAAGATCACAGACTGAAAAGGGATTGGAAACCAGGATTATGTACAAATAGAATTTATGGAGAAGGTGAAGTTGCAGTGAGCACCATAATTTTAGTTGTCTTGCCACTTAAGAGTCAACCTTCTTCAGTCTTCTTATCAAAACCAAATAACATGCAACATTGTCATTTGCAAGTGGTGGACTTCAACCAAAAAGAAAAAAAAAAAGGTGAAGCATTTCTCCATTCACTCCTTTTCCTTGATTAAAATAACTTGTAACACAACAACAAAAAAGGCAAGTAAAATACTTGCATTATCTATGTGCTGGTGCCAGGAGGACAGAATACTCAGTGACCCTACTTCTGGTATTAAAGCAGCTGTGGGACTGAGTCTTGCTCTTTAAAGCATAACTGAAGATTTTGGAGAGGAGAGGTCAGGATGTCTCATCTGAATAATTATATCATACAAACTTAAATTAGTGCAGGGAGTGTCATGCTTACCTTTTCCCCCCTTTTTTTTCCTTCAGACCACCTCCTTCCACCATTAGTAATGGCAGAAGTACTTGTAAATAATGTTTATTTTGAACCCAAGTTGGTACTCTAAAGAAAACCCCCAACACATTGATATGTTTATGTCAGTGTAATTCAGTGCTGTAGTGAAGTTTAGCTTGTGTATTTAATAAAAGTAAGTCACAGTCAAAATTTTTACTGGTGATGTACTTCCAGGCTGTTCCCTATGTTAAGAAACTTGATACAGCACTTCGTCTAGGATGCATAGTTGCCATTAAAGGAGAAGTGAATAAAAACCCAAAGAGGTAAGTGTTGCTGAATTTTTCTTCTGTTTAAATGAGCTGCTCTTGAGAATGAGTACCGAGTACTCAGTATGAGTACCAAGGCTTTTCCATGCCTCGGTATATCCTTACTCACTTACAACTTTGTTTGTGAAACTACAGTGCAGTTTCTCAGGAACCTGCAGGATACTGCTTTAGAGAGGACTTTAAAGAGCAGCTCCATTTTGAAAAGTGAAGGTAAAACCTGAGTGTCCTACTTGCTCAGTCTGCATCATTCGCAAGATTGTGTGTCTGTTCAGGCTTATTGTGTGAGGCATGTGAGCACACATCATACAAGATGGCTTTTATTCCAGAGAGATCCAAGAGTAAGAGAACTGGTAGAAGTAGATGGAAAACAAGCGAGGTGAGATGCTGGTGTGCTCAAATGCTGCATGTTGCAGCATTTCTCTGAATATTTCTCGACAGCCTCCCCAGGGACCACTTAAGCGTGACGGTGCCTGACAACAACTCAGTGATGGAAGCTGGTAGCAGAGCATGAGCTACAATTTTGATAGCAAATTAGGAACAACGGGTTGCCAAGAAGAGGTGTTTTAAAGGAGGATGGGGGTAGAGGGAGTGTAACACTGTCAAAGTCAAGCTGAGGAAGCATCTGTGCTTCAGCATGCCCTTTGCTTGAAGGGTGGTTTCGGCTCTGTGGAACAATGCCTAAAAACGAAGCCATTAGTGCAAACAATGAGAAGCATGCTTTTTACTCCCTGTGTATGAATTGCACTTCTGCTTCTTCAGAGCATGTAACCTCCCTGCAGCTGAACAGCACTCAGAATTCATATTTATACTGGAACCCAAGGACTAGAAATCTCAGCAATGTTTGAACGGACTTTAAATTGGACAGGATAATTAATACTTAGTAGCATTTGTTTTCAGACTTTTGGCTTGAAAAGCTTATTAGCTCATCTCAAATGCTGAATGTACTGCTTATAAGTGTGAAGAGGCTTTTGGATGTTTAGTTAAAGCATTGCAGGTTACTCTTTGTGCTTTTAAATGTATAGAGTTTGTAAGTTACTGAATGTCTTTCATTCAGTTCACGCAGTTATAGATGTTCCTTTTCCTTGGTGAAAAAGAGAGCTTTACAGCTTGCTGTTTTGTACTTGGACTAAGCAATTCTAGGCTTCTCAAAGGGCAGTAACCTGGCAGCTGGAGCTAATTTTTGGGGAGGAATATTTCTTCTTCAAATGCAGTAAGGTCTTTGCCACGTGTTGAAGTATTCATTTTGGATCACTCTTCTCTCTGATCACTCTTCTCTAGACCTCCCCTTTAGGCACCCTGTGGTGTGGACAGAGCTGAGATGAGAGGGTACCTGGGTACAACTTACTACAAAGTAACACTCTGAATGCATGGTGTCCCACCACTCTTAAATGTACAGAGAGAATCCTCAAACTTTTCCTTAGAGTCTAACCAGTTTGTTGGCAGAGAGACAATCTTTAGGTAAATCAAGGCTTCCCACTCCACTGCCTGAGTTAAGAAAGAGATGGTGGAGCAACTAGCACCGTGTGGTTCTGTGAGAATTCTGCTTCCTCGTGTTATAGGGGAGCAGCACTTGGCCAACACCTCTTTACTGAGAAACGAACAGAAAGCTGTGAGTGATGAACCAGATCTAGCAGGGTCATGTCCTGCGTTTACTGCCTCTAGGCAAGTTTTCTGTGTGAAGGAGGCATGTTAACTGCCTGCTTGGTTCCTCAGGTGAATCACAGCCCTGGCTTCCAAACTGTTCTGAGTATTGGCTAAGGACTTGGTAAATAGCATGGACTACTGCATTGTGTCTATAAACCCTTGGTATGGTAAACTTAAAAATATCTTCCAGCTTCACAGTAAATCTGAAATCAAGCGACTCAAAGGACATTGCATTACATCTGAATCCCCGAATGAAAAATAAAGATTTTATAAGGAATTCATACCTTCATGACAGCTGGGGAGAAGAAGAAAAGGAAATTGCTAATTTCCCATTCAGTCCCGGGATATACTTTGAGGTAAGGTTAACTGAAACATGGCACCAAACTGGTAATTTTGTCAAAAGGATTAGCAGTGGTGCTTAAATATCTTGTCACTAATGCAGATTTAAATAAAAATGCCATTCCTACATTTCAATGTCTTGAGAATACGTAGGATTAAAAGGAGACTATAGGGAGCAGATTTCAGTTGGGTTTAATGACAGCTTTCTTTTTAAATAGTTGCAAGAACTCAGTCTGTGCTCAGAACAAACTGTAATTGAAATGAGTCGGACTCTATTCTTACGGGTCTCTTCCAACTTTAGTTATTCTTTGATTCTATGGATTTGATTGAAGTTCTGCCTATTTTAAAATGTCTCTTGCATGAAACATTGCTTGTAACAGAAGCTTGCCCAGGTCTAGGCTAGATCATCAGGTTGTTTTTCCATGTTTTACCTGAGCTTAAAACTTAACTGTTTCTTTTCTGGCTTTTCAGCTGGTAATTTTCTGTGATTCCCACGAGTTCAAAGTTGCTGTCAATGGCGTTCACGCTCTGGAATACAAGCATCGTTTTAAACAACTTGATAAGATCAACATAGTGGAAATAATGGGAGACATTCAATTGTTAGATGTGAGGAGCTGGTAGTATTTTTCCATCAGTACTAAAAGAATTAAACTTTTTCTAATGAGTGCCTCCTTGTCAAGTACAGACAGGTGGTGATTTGTGCTGAGCCTGCCTTTATCTATCTAGGCTTCTCTGTCTGCCCAAATTAGGCAAGTACCAGAACTGCTAACTGCAAGAAGAAATCCTCTACAGTATCCTGGTCAGCTAAGTGAGTATTTGCTCAGATAAATCTCCTGTATTACTGAACCTAAGAACATGAAAATGCTGCATCATAGTCTGTCTAACAGTTGCACTCAGTATGTTCAAGTTAAACTACTACTCAGCATTCATTGATAACATACATTCGATATAGTGAAGCAGAAACTAGACAGAAGTAGGATCTGAAGATAGTTATCCACACCACAAGGGACATTGATAATTCATTTACAATATAATTCTTAGATATACTCTACTACTTAGTTTATATTAGCAACTGTAACCTTCTGACTGAGGTGGATTAAGGAAACAATTGACTCATCAGTGCTAGCAAAAGGCAAGGAATTTGATCTTCTGAGCCTGCTATGAGTAGGACCCTACTGACACCTCCTGCTCACAAATGTTTTAAATCAAACATACAGCAGCATTTCTAGCTTTTAGTTTTCCAAAGTGTTACAAATGAAAATTATTTTACTGGTAGCAATTGTGTGAGCTTTTAAAAGCTTGTTTGATTTGAAATGGCTCTGAACTGAGTTGAGATTGCTCAGGGACTGAAATGGATGTTTGTTGTTTTCATTTAGAAGAAATAAATGTGTGAACCCAGGTAGTCCAGGCAGGGTTTCAGCTGAGATGAGAGTCACATACTCATCAGTGGAACAATGAATGAATCCTTTTTCAGTCTTGGTATTAAAATGCTATCTGAAACAAGCTGTTCCTGTTCAATCAGTTTTCTGTACAAGTGTCAGTCTCAATTTTTATACTTTGAAAAAGTTATTCCTGGCTGTCAATACATGTAAGAGGGATGTTCGTATTAACAGCTGCTAAGAGTGAAACAATTTCAAGAATAAGATGTACCCTAAAAGACTGTTTAAAATAAATCACCAGATGTAATGTATAAAAAGCATATATAAAAACATTTGTGAACTCTGCTTTTCTCTAAATGTAGCTACGTAGCTATTATCCCTTTTTGGTTTATATTTTGTCTTGTTTTGCTTATTTTCTTACTCATATCTTCAAGGTGGCACAGTGATCCTGAGTGGAGGACCATTTCCACATCAAAGAGTTAGTGATCCACAGACCAGTTACCCTGAGTAGGTCTCGGCTGTGCTGGTGTGTCCTTCAGGACAGTGTTGTGCTGCACAATCAACTTAGCTGGCTGATGGTAATGGAGGAGCTGGGAGGCAGCTCCCACTTGAGTGTCCTTGCCTTTATCTAAGAGTTGAGCAGGAAGTTCTCCTGTGAACATCCTTGTTTGACAGCAGACATGATTAATAGTTGTTTTCTAAGAAAATCTTTCAAGAGCATGAATGACCACAAAGGGGCAACCTTTCTGCAGAGGAGATCTGCATGGCATGCTGTACCCTGAACAGAGGCCCAGTCTCAGCACCAGATGGGACATACGAGTATTTTCTTTATAGTGATAGTTCTAACCAGTTGCATTTCAAACCATACTTCAGAATCTCAGTGCCTTTCTTATTAGTGATGTAAGGAACCAGCACCTCCTGATGCAAAACAGGTGGTAATTTTTTTGGTACATTCCTTAATAGAGCAAGCAATCTATTCTTCAGGTAAGTAAGTGCCATTGCTTAGCTTGTCTTTAAAAAAACAGCTTTAGCTCCTATATGAATCCTAATTTACTGTAGCTTCCTTTTTCAGTATCTTCAGCGGCTTTACTTTTTACTTCCCTAAAAAGGACAGAAAAGCAGATTCTCAGTACTGCAGTGCATGGGTGCCATGAGTACCATGCTTACAGTCCCTCCACAGAGACAGTGACTGCATACCCCAAACACAGCGGAACTCTGAGTGTCTTTCATGTCACTCTGTGCCTATTTGCTTATGGTTTGTTCTAGTCTCCCGCTATTAAAAAAACAGCAGTTAAGGAAAAGTCATACATAAAGTCCCCAGACCATCCAGAAATTATAAAACCAGATTCTTACAATGTTTTATTAAAAAGTTAAGATCTTTGCTCTGATAAAAATTAGTATGACTAATTTTGCCTGTAATACTAGCATGTGTGAAGCTGACATGATTCAGACAAAATCTGAAAACAGAGGAGATCAACTTAGAAGTAGCTTTGGAGTGGTTCTCCTAAAATGACTTCTAGTTGTTGAATTGTCTTCTGACACAGCTGTTCCACTTCTTCACATTCATCTAGAAAAAAAAAGAAAGCAGGAATTAAGTAGAACAGCCATTAGAAAGCTACCCTAGGAAGGCCTCATCACTCGTCAAGGCCAGAACTGGCTTCAAACACCAGATATGAAATTATTATTAAAAAATACTTTGGCACTGACTCAAGACTTGGGCAAATTATTTCTATTGTAACACTGATCTAAAGCATGAAATGAGGGAGATGTGCACATTGAAGAAACTACCATAACTGTACTTCAGAATTACTGGATACAATCTATTTCAGTTTGCATCCCGTGCAGTTTAACCTACCATATACCAATATGTAAGATTTACAGCAACTATAGCAATCATACTGTCTGAACCTCTGAAAGGTGACCCTTATTTTCTTTTTTGTCTTAGGCCAGTTGTCTGTACCAGTGCCACTTTAGAACATTACCTTCCATGAGCTCAGCTAAGAATGGAATGGATTCAGGTAGCAGGACCAGGTAGTTCTCTTTCAGTTTCTGTGCAACTTCTACCAAAGCAAGCAGAGCAGCAAATCGGACCTAAATCAAAACAATAATCTTTGTAAGGAAACAAACATTACAGTATAGTTCTCTGTTTTCTCCCATCTGCCTCCACTTTCTTTCCATCTAAGTTTGTAACCTAGCTTCTGCTACTGAAAGGAACTAGTTTTAAGCCAATTTAAATCTCAACATTTGGGTTAAGATAATGTGAAAGGAAAAAATAGGTTGCAAGAAGCAGGTATGTTGCTGTAAGTTATTTGATAAAATGGTCTTGAACTTCCTGTTACAACACAACTCTGGTTCATTGTATCAGAAGGACTTAGCTCAGTACAATGAAAACCCAAGTACTTCCCCTGAAGAGCTACAGCCTGTCAAATAGGAGAGTCTTGACAACTCTATGTAATAAGCAAGTCTGAAGGTTGATTGATAACTGTCTTTGAGTTCCCCCTCTTTCTTCCTACACAGACAGCTTTTATTCCAACAGCTACCTCATCTTTAAAGAACCCAAACCACACAGTACAGCAGACATCCACATGTGGTGTATTGGCTGCTTACAGTAAGAGCAGAAGGCCATTTTGTTCACATCTCTCTATGGCTTGGGAGTAGCACAGTTCTCCCAGTACAGTATCAGTATTGTAACTTAGGCTAGTATTTTAGTAGTGACTTGGCTAATCCAATTCTGGTTTTGGAGGCACTGTTCCCAATTTCTAATGCAACAGAGAAAACCAGTTTGAATTCTGACAGCTTCCAACCTTAGGAGAGGTGTGCCTCATTTTCAGCAGGATCTGGTAGTTCAGTGGTTTCCAAAGAGAATCATCTGCCATTGCCACTGCAAACTGAGCTATGCAGGGTATCAGGTGGGCTGTCACTCTGTCCTGGAACTTCTCATCTCCTCCAAGTGTATTTTCTAGCTGTGGAATAAAAAGCTTGTCAAACAGATCCAAACAAATAAATTCAGCCAAAAGTACTTCTAGCTTTGGCTTTCAGATGCTCAAGAGTTACACCGAAGAGCATCAGTAGGAGTGCAACTGGTCTGCAAGAACTCAACAACATGCATGAATCTTACAGAATGAAGATGTTCAGAAAGAGGATAAAACAGTAATTCAGAGCCTTAGTCAAAGCAGTTAATACTGCTTTGTCTTTTGGCCACAGACAATAAATTAATTCCTCCCTTTTTGCTAAGGAAGAGGATTGGTGAGGTTTAATAGTTAAAAATAAGGAAATTTTCAGATGGGGAAAAAAAAGTCAGTTTTGAATTGTTTTTCCTATGTCTGTCAATACCTGATCAACCAGAGGCATCATCAAGGTTTCTGTTCTTTCCTTACTCAGGAAATTCTGGGTGTCAAACAGGAAAAGCTTGTGTAGACAGTTCATGGTGAACTGCAACAGCAGACAGCTCTTCTCTGTGTTATTCTCAGAGTCAAAGAAAGCTTCATCTATATGTCAATCAAGGAGAAGGGGGAAAAAAAAATCATTAAAAAAAACCCCAAAACTTTCCCACAAGATAGATAGAAACATTATTCATTTGTGAACGTAGCTAGAGGATGACGACATAGCAATTATGTACTCATCACTCAGAACAATGAAGATGCAATATATTATCTGGCTTTTAGCTAATGCCGTAGCAGGTCTGCCACTGCTGTTCATAGTCAGCTGGGGATAAAAGAGTATAGACACGGGCTATAGGAAGACACAGGCCATACCAGTGGATATGGAGAATTTCTTCACTACAAATAGGATGAGCAAATAGTTTCCCATATAAAAAACTAATACGTATTTTTGCCAGGAAAGCAGAGAAGTCTGAACACACCAGGCAGCATGTTGGAGAAATCAGTGAGTAGAAAAAAAAGGAAAAAGGCCAAACAGAAACAAGTTTTTTCCCCACACAACCTCATTCTCATGGAACTCACTGGGACTGACACTGAAAATTTTCATGTGGTCTCAAGTTTGTACTGGCAAGCCCAGAGCCATGGATGAAATACGTCCTTTTGTTCCACCAGAATAAGAAAGATGCCTTATTTATGAGAGAAAGAAGAAAGAGAAATGAGGTATGTGCTGTGAAGTAAATCCTGGAAGACTAAACTTTCAGCAATTATAATTAACCTCTTTCAGCAATTAATTTAGCCTGCCAACAACACCTCTCTATAGTTAGTAACTGAAAACTTACCCGTTTTAGAAACGTTGACCTGGTTCAGTGTCTCAGCAAACGGCTTCAATAAATGACCAGCAAACAGGGTGAAGAGGCCCTTGAGCTTGTCTGCGATGCAGTCTGCAATTCGGTGGAATGTCAGTAGTCTGTCTTTTAG